AAACCCCTAAAATGGCTCAAGGGGTTCCAAATGAGCCACTTTTTGGCCCAAGCCCAGTTGCGCCATGGGAGGGAAGTGGCCCAGGGTGCGCACAAGGCCGTGGCCGACCGGCAAGGGCCGGAAATAAGTCTATTTGAGGTCCCTCAGGCCGAAAAAAAGAGAATAAGTTCATTTTTAATGCTTTAGTTTTTTTCAGAAGCATTTACAATTATAGTTATTGAATGTGTTTATTTCTAAGCAAACCTAAAATGAATGATTTTCTTTCTTTTTCTAGTTAAATAATTATTAAATGATGTTTGTATTATTAAAATTAGCAATTAAGCTATGAAATTCCAAAGAGCGTAACTAAGCATGGAGAATTTAATAAAATTAAATTTAACCATGTCATTTTATTTCTCACACTTGCTTAACTTGTAAATTTATTTAACTATACACAAACCTACTTATTTATATTTTAATTAATTGCATATTTTTTTATCTGTATGCTTCCTGTTGCAACGCACGGGCATTTTGCTAGTAATACTAGTATACAAATTTAGCCTAACTGATCAAAGTTCATCACCATATATATTTAGATGGATCTGTCATACTGTCACTAAGGACTTGGAACACCAGAGCTAAGGTGCCGGTGCTTGCACGGATGCCGGTTGGAAACCCCCGCACTTCCCTTATATCCTCCGTTTCATGAAAAACTCAACCCTATCTACGAATCTGAATATACATGTGTTCAGATTAGTACCTATGATTTATTTATTTTTGGACATAGTAGTGTACCTCACGAGAACGGAGCAGGTCATGAGTGGTAGTCCGATGTGGTTGTGGATTGTGACGTTCTCTAGCTACTTTGTGCAGCGGAAAAGTTGATGCGCGATCGATCGCCAAGGCCAACTGGTAGCGATCATTCCCCCCCCCATACTTTTTTTCCTTCCCTTCACCTGGTTTCCCTTTTAGAAACCGCATTACTTTCCCAATTTAGTAAATTTATGCCCCATAAAGTTTATACACCTCAAGTTTACACATCTAAAGTTTAGGAGCCCAAAGTTTAAAAGTCAAGGTTAAATATCCGGTTCAAATTGAATTGGAATCAAAATATTTTTAAAATAGGGGATTTCTATACATCCAAAGGTTAACAGCCCTAAAGTTTATAGCCCTAAGGTTTATAGGTCAAAGGTTTATATCCCCGTTTCAAATTTGAATTGGAATTATATAGGATTTAAATTTGAATTGGAATTCAAATATTTTCTATATTCTATATATAGTATTTCTATACATCTAAAGTTTATACACCTAAATTTTATAGATCCAAAGTTTATAAGTCAAAAGTTTACATACCCGATTCAAATTTGAATTTGAATTCAAATTCGATTCAAATTTAAATTTAAATTCAAATTTTTTATATATAATATTTCTTTACATAAATTTTTCTAACTTTTGTTTTATAAAAATAATTTTGTGGTATACTGTAGTAGGGAAGGGGAAGAGAAGAAAGGAAGGAGGGAGGGGGAGAAAAGGGACGCATTAGCAGTCCCCCTTTGTGCAGTGCTGTGTTGCATTGGACCTTGGCAACTTTGAAATTAAATTTGAAAATGTACTGTTGATATATTTTTTCTTAGAAATATTTGGGATATAACTTTTTGTTAGAAATGTATCGTAGGTCTTGCACAACCGTTACGCGAGAATGATGTAAGCGTGACGAGTGACGATGTGGGCGGTCTTGCATGACGTAGGCGTGAGCACAGTCTCGCATGACGAAACAACAAGACTGAATGGTCTCGCACAATAAACACGTGAGAGCGAACGGCGGCTTGCCTAGTAATTATTAATAATTAGTTATTAATTATCCTAATTAGCGGTTAATTATATAATTAATAGCTAATCAGGATAGTTAAACAATTTGAAACGGCCCAACCATTCGGTCTCGCTAGCTGGTAATGCGGGGTTCCTAGTGCGTGCTCACGTGCCAACTCAAAAAGTAGCGCGCACGCGGCACGCCGACGTCCGCGTCGTCCTAGTCGGTAATTAGCGGTAATTATAGTAATTAGCATTTTAAAAATATATAAATAATTTATTTAGTTAGTAGTTTTAAAATACAGTTGAAAGTTTTAAATTTTAATTGAAAGCTTTCAAATCTTGAGTTAAAAGTTTTTGAATTTAAAGTTGAACATTTTTTAATTTGGAGTTGAAAGTTTTCAAATTTGTGATGAAAATTTTGAAATTTTGAGTTGAAAATTTTTGAAATTCAAGTTGAAAAGTTTCAAAAGTTTGAGTTGAAAGTTTTTGAAATTTGAATTGAAAGTTTATGAAATTTGAGTTGAAAGTTTTCAAAACTTGGGTTGAAAGTTTTCAGAATTTGAATTGAAAGTTTGAAATTGATCTAAAAATTTCGAAATTTGAGTTAAAATTTTTTAAATTTTGAATTTGAGTTGAATGTTTTAAATTTTGGATATATTTTTTTCATTTTTTCAGTGAAAGCCTTAAATGATATTGTAATAGTAAAAAAAATTAACTAAACGTGATACGCCTAATTACCAAAGAAAGGAAAATAAATCAAAACAAATGCGATAATGCTTACCGTCCGCCGTCCGGCCCAAGAAGAAATATCGGACGCTTCAGCAGGCCCACCTCCACTTTATCAGCCAGCCTTCTAGCTAACCTTATCCACTCCTTTTGCCCTCTCCCTCATCCACTCACTTCTCTCCCTCATCCACTCGTTCTCTGCCCCTCTCTCTCCTTTCTGTCTCTCACGAAGGACCAAAAGCGGCGCTGCTCGCTGCTCGTCGGCACGGTTGGGCCATAGCTGCCGTGAGCAGCTAGGCGTCCTCCCCGTGCGGCTCTCCGCAGGAACTCCGCGCGGCGTCGACGATGGCGGCTGCGAGCTCCGTGCGGCATCGACGACATGCGGACGCGGCTAAGCTCCACGGCATCGACGACAACGGTCGAGCTCCGTGCGGCGCTGAGGACGGTGACGGAGCTCCACGCGGCCGAGCTCCGTGCGGCGCCGACGAAGGCAGCCAAGCTCCGTGGGGCCGGCGACCATGCGTTGAAGAAGATGGAGCGTAGGTTTGTTTTGTTGGTGTTTTAGGGATGTTGCATTCTACTGTTAAGCTCGTTGCACTATGTGTATTAAGGTGTTTCATTTTGTTTTGATTTAATGTTGCATTGCAATCTATTGTATATGTTTTGTTGCACTCTATTTTATTCGTGTGTTTCATCCTTGTTTTATTGGATGTTGCATATGATGTACAATGTGTTTTCTTCGATGTTGCAGAGTAGAGTCCTGATGTTGCGAGTCGTGTTTTTTCATTGTTTCATCTGATTGAAACATTTCTCATCGAGTAATGAAACATTGAAACATTTTCTAGTGAAACATTATTTAATAAGTGATGAAACATCTGAAACAATTTTTTATATGTGGTGAAACACCGTCCGATTTTTTTGCCAAACATCAGACGTCCGATGCGTAGCGTTCTCCAAACAAATGATGTTAACTGTGTCTAATTATGTGTTAATCATTTTTTTGAACTAATGATGTTAATCTGCGCCTAATCACGCGCTAATCATGTTTGCTGTTTCTAACGCCTGCGGCTAATCACGTGCTAATCACGTTTTCAGTTTCTAACGACACCGCCGTACGCCGTTCTCTCGTTCGCTCCACGAGACACGTGTACGTACGCGCTAGGAAAGCAACTCGCGCGTATGCGCTAACTAGCAATCTCGATGCGAGTTATTTCGTCGCGCGATGCCGAGTTGTCTCGCTATTTGGTCGCATGACCCCGCGCGGAGATCGCTCATGTCGTCACGTCAAAAACAAATCACCAGTATATTTTCAAATTTAATTCGGCAACCTTATGCATCCACCCCCTCTGTTATCTGCACGATACTTTCGACTTTAGTACTGGAAATCGTTATTTGGAATTTCAAGGAACACGTTTATTCTTTTATTTTGAAATATTCCTCTCTTACACAGCATCCAACTGAGCTGAATTCTCAGTTGTTTGAACCGTGCACAATCATAAGATAGCAAACACATCACCTGTAGCAGGACAGATAGAACGAAAAAAGCAAGCAGCATATCATAGATGCAACCCAACAGGACAGTTGCAGAAAATGACTTCAAAATAGATTGGCTAGTCTTTAATCATCTAGCTGATGGTCCCCAGTTGGCCGATAAATCTGGCTTCACACTTCCATGGCTATTGTCGCTGCGGCCATCGGTATGGCAAGCTTCTTCCAGTGCCAAGGCATCTTTCAGTTGCTCCACTACTTCAGTCATTGTTGGCCTGTCATCAGACACCTCTTTTGTGCACATCAGTGCAATGTCCACAACCTTCCAGACTGAACCCATGTCATATGCCCCTTGGAGACGTGGGTCGACAATCGCACTGATTTCACCGTCGCTGGCCTTCTGTTTCACATACTTTACAACATGCCCAACGCCTGGGAGGATGGGTGGTTCGCCAGTTACAATCTCTAGCAAAACCACTCCAAAGCTGAACACATCGCTTTTCATGGTGAGCCTGCTGCTGAAGTAGTACCTACACAAAAATAATATTGAAGATTTGAGTATTTAGCCAGTGCTATGAAAAACTATTCTTGCAACTAGTGTTGAACACACAGTAATGTGAAGAATTGCGACATCGTTAGGTCCTTTCTCTTCACGATAATGCAACTGGAAGGTTTTGTGTTATCAATTTAAGGGAACAGATCGCAGATTGAAGCTTCATTGCTTCATTCAGTTAGTTGGTTGCAAGTGCAAATAATACTAAAGTTAAGTGAATGTGCTCAGGGACAAACTCTGGATCCATATAGCCTATGGTGCCAGCAGCAGTGACTGATATATGAGTTTGTGCTTCATTAATGTAAGACTTGGACAGTCCAAAATCAGAGATTTTGGCATGCATATCTTGCCCCAGTAGAATGTTGTGTGACTTCACATCTCTGTGTATTATAGGCAATACACACCCTGAATGCAGGTATCCCAGACCTGTATTAGAGATACACTGTCAAAAGGAGATTGAAACATATATATATACATATATGTATATATGTATATACATACCAATATACATATGTATATAGGTATATACATATATATGCTTGAAATACATGGTAAAAGATAAAATACAATGAAACACTTTAAACCTAACCTTGTGCAGCTTCATGCACAATTCTAGTGCGCTGTAGCCAGCTCATTGTTTGAACATTGGCCTTTTTACCTAAAAAATAACTATGATTTGTTAGTGCAGTGATACACACACACGGTGAAAACCATCAAATAATTGAAAACCCGTGAAAACCAATCTAAAAGTTTTATA